CCCGCCATGAGCAGGGCGCAGCTGACGCGGACGGGGATCCTGCGGATGGCGCTGGGCGGTGGTGGCGGCGGAGCCGGCGACCCGCTGCTGGCGGCGGAGGGCGGGGAGGGCCGGCGGGCTCCCTTCCTGCTGCGGGCCCTGCGCATCGCCCTGGTGGTCTGCCTCTACTGGTTCACCTCTATCGCCATGGTCTTCCTCAACAAGTACCTGCTGGACAGCCCCTCGCTGCGCCTCGACGCCCCCATCTTCGTCACCTTCTTCCAGTGTGCCCTGACGGCCGCCCTCTGCCTGGGCCTCAGCATGGGGGCGGCCTGCGGGCCCCCCTGCTCCGGCCTGCCCACCCTCCGCCTCGACCCCAAGGTGTCCCGCAGCGTCCTGCCCCTCTCTGCCGTCTTCATCGGCATGGTCACCTCCAACAACCTCTGCCTCAAGTATGTCGGCGTGGCCTTCTACAACGTGGGACGCTCCCTCACCACCGTCTTCAACGTGCTGCTCTCCTACCTGCTCCTCAAGCAGACCACCTCCCTCTACGCCCTGCTGGCCTGTGGAGTCATCATAGGTGAGAGGGGGCTGCACCCACCCCATGGCCAGGCCCATCACCTCAGAGAGCAGGAGGTGGGGTGGTCTCCCCTTGGGAAGCCATCCCCATGTGCGTGGTGATTCTCCCTAGTGTGGGGAGGTAGCTCCGGGCTCATGCTTTGCTCTGCTTTGGGAAACATGCTTTGCTCTACCTTGGGCATCCTGCTTTGTGTCTGTGGAGCACGTCGGTAACCCGTTAAGAAAAGAAATTGCTCTTACTTGACCATGGTTTCCTCTTTCTGTTGGGCGCTAAAAGCTGTCTACTCTGTCATGAAGTTTAACTTGCCTTACCTTTTTTTTTTTCTCCCCACAAAGGCCACAAAACAGCGGGTGGTTTTCTCCCTGTTCACAAGTGCCTGTTGATGATTAGCTTTGGTAACAATAACAGTATGTCAGCACCGTTGAGACCATACAATGGAGCTAGCCGGTTCAGACAGTTTGAATGCATGGGATGGAGGGTTAGCTGATGAAGCCAAGCGTAAAACACCACCAGAAGATCTGGTTGTGTGGTTAGCACGTAGGGCAGGGCATTGACTGGCTTAACGGGAGTTGCTTACAAGCCTTTCATTCCAAAGGCATCTGTAATGCCACAACCTGCCTTCCACTGGAGAGCTATTTAGATGCCAAGGGTGGTAAAATGTGAGCTTCAGTCTGGTTCCAGGTAGACGTGTTCACTTTGGTAGATGGATGAAAATGAGACGAGAGTTTCCTCCCCTTAGAAGAAGGGAACAGGAGCAGAACTACTGTTTTTTCCACCCAAGTGATGCACAAGCAATTCCCTTCGGCTAGTCTTGTGTTTGGATATTGCCCAGGACTATGGTGTCTGCCAGCCTTGCAGAGTTTCTCTAAGACTTTCTCCCCCCAGGTGCCATCCCCTTTTGCTGTGGGAGCGTTGCCCACGTGCCTGTAGCAGTGTAGTTTAGCATCCTCTGTGGCCTGGTGCAAAGCCCTTCCTGTCGGTGCGTTGGACCCATTTGTATTTGGGCCCAGTTTAAAGCACATTAGCTGTTTTGCAGGTAACTTCCCAGGCAGCCCACAATGTGAAGCGGCTAATGGAGGGGTGGTGCAGTGTTCCTTCAGCAGCTCCTCTCCCCTTTTATGTTTTGCTTATGTCCCCCTCTCTGCCCTAGAGAAGCAAAGCTTGTAGCTCCTGTTCTGGAGGTGGTTAAAGAGTGCATTACCTATCAAAGAAGTTTGACATGATGAAGGTACTGCACTCAGTTTCTGCCTTGTGATCTTTTTTTTTTTTTATCAAGCTTCTTAATATTACATCCATGTGTTTACTATCTTTCCATCATCTTTTCTGACCTATCTTTCCCTTCCTGTTCACAGCAAAGCCTGTGGGGCTTTTTCTTCTTTTTTTTTAATAAAATCTCGCGGAATGAAATATTGCTACCTCTGTGTCAGTTTGCTGCCTTTTCAATTAAAAAAAAAAAATCATATGATTGCCTCAAATTGACGTATACACAAAGAGTAGCTTTAACTTTAATTCGTGGCTCTTTGGTTTCTAAACTCCTGCTGCCGGCTCCGTGTGGGAATCAGTCCTCTGAGATTGAATGATAGCACAGCAAATTACCTGCACTCCCAAAATAAATCTTCCCAGGACACTAGTCACAACACTTTGTGGGTTCACTTAATAGAAGGGGGAAGCCCTTAAGCCTGTCTCTGCTTGTGGTTGTGGTTGTTCAGTTTAAGGTAGATGATGGATTGCTGACTGTTATGTTTGAGTTCTTCAACAGTTGTTCAGATGAATTTTTTTTTTTTTTTTTTTTTGCTTGCAGGTGGCTTCTGGCTGGGTGTTGACCAGGAAGGAGCAGAGGGCACTCTGTCATGGACAGGTATATTCTTTGGGATCCTGGCAAGCCTGTGTGTCTCGCTCAATGCCATCTACACCAAGAAGGTGCTGCCTGTGGTGGATGGTAGCATTTGGCGCCTGACCTTCTACAACAACGTCAATGCTTGTGTCCTCTTCTTCCCTCTCATGATGCTGCTGGGCGAGTTCCGCACCCTCTACCACTTTGACAAGCTGGGGAACCCCAGTTTTTGGGGTATGATGACCCTGGGAGGACTGTTTGGCTTTGCCATTGGGTACGTGGCTGGACTTCAGATCAAGTTCACCAGCCCGCTCACCCACAACGTGTCTGGGACAGCCAAGGCCTGTGCCCAAACGGTGCTGGCTGTTATCTACTTTGAGGAGACAAAGAGCCTCTTGTGGTGGACGAGTAACTTGATGGTTCTGGGTGGCTCCTTTGCCTACACGTGGGTGAAAGGACTGGAGATGAGAAAGGTGCAAGAAGATACTAGTGTCAAAAGCAGCGAAAGAAATGAGACTGGTGTGTAGGTCGCTCCAACACCTTCATTTCTGTGCCCAGGGGGGGTTAACCTTTGGTGCTCCTTTCCTCCTGGGGAGAAGAGGAGCAAGGAGCAGGAAAGAATTGACCTGCAAAGTGTATGGGGAACTGTGTCAGGAACCAGAGCCAAAGGCCTGACTGGATCATGTTTTATCCATGGGATCTTGCCCTGTATTGAACTTGGGGAGAGCATGTCTTGTAGAGAGCAATCAGGTTTTTTTTTTTGTGATCGTTTTTTAAAATGAATGTTGCTATTGACCTAATCTGGGTAATTTGCATCTCTGGGGGGGGGCGGGGGGGTGGAGAAGTTACAAAATCCCAAGCCTCCATGTAAGGAAGAGGCAGGTGGGCAGGCTGTTGGGGACAGACTCGGGTAAACTGTTCTGCTCTAAAAGGATTGGCAATGGCCGTTCTTCCTCTTGCCCCGTTCAGCGCAGAGGGTGGGAAATTCCCTCCCGTCTGGTTCTGCACAAGCCTCAGCAGCAGCACTGCCTCCAAATCTCCTTCCCAAAGAGTCAGTATCACACCCTGCTGAGGTCTGTTCCGCGTTTCTGCCCACCTGGCTGCTTAGCTCAGGAAATCTAGGAAGCTAAGAATCAGGAATGAAACTTCCCATTCCCTCGGCGTGCTCTCCCTCATGGTACATGGTGTGTTCTCAAGTGGCCTTTCTCGAGGAGGAAAGAGCTTGGCCTTTGCCTCTCAGTGACAGACCGGAGGGGAAAAGTTACTCTAATGCACTTCCTTGTAGGGTGGAGATCCAAGTTCATGGAGTTGGCAACACCTGGCCTCCTCGCCTGCTGTGTAGGGGGTAGGTTTGTGTCTCAAAATGGGGCTGTTACTAATTAGGCTTGGTTTGGGGGACTTGTTTCATACCTACTTTGGATCTCCTCTGCTGTTTGCAATTTGTCTTTTGCCACGGCCATCTCGGTGAATCCTTCAGCCCCCCCAAAAAAAGTCCTAGTTATGCTCAGCTGCGTCAATCCCTTTAGTTGAAACTTGCTCCTGCACAGTTGGGTCTGCAGAAATCTCTGCCACCCATCTAATCCCATGGATGTGCCACCTCAGGTTATGCTGTGCTGTGATTTCTGATCCTGGGGGTCAGCAGCAGCATCCTGTACCCTCCTGTGATGCTGCACACACTTTCTAAACCCCTGGCCCCATTCATATTCCAAGAATTTTTGGGTAGTGATCCTGGGCAGTTGATGTGACCGCTTCCCGCCCTGCCCTGGGCTTTCTACAGTGATGTGCCCTTCCCCGTGTGTGACATCTGGCCACTCCTACAGAAGGACACTCCATTTCTGCACGGAAAATGTTCCTAATTTAGGGGGTGAGGGGTTGTCCTGCGCTGGGTTGCATCCCCACGGGTGCCTTCTTGCTCCTTTTGGCTGCAGGCGGCCACTTGGGGGGGCTTTGAATTTATTTTAAGAGCAACGGACGTCGTGCGTACTGACTTGTAGCTTCCCAAAGATGCTGAATAAAGTTGGGGGGTGGGGAGGGGGTGTCTTTCTTTGGATCTCTGGGGAAGGGGAGCAACGTTTGCAGCGTGTGTCGCCATGAAAGTGGGGGGGGGACACACGACCGGTGACACCCCCCCCACCGCCGCGCCCAGTTCCGAGCGCGGCCGCTAGGGGGCGATATGGCGCCCTGTCAGAGCGCGCCCTCGCCCCGCCCACCCCTCCGTGCTGATTGGCTGCCGCCGCGTACGCGGGCGGGGCGGGGCGGGAGCGTGCGGCGCGCGGGGGCCGCGGCGGCAGTCGGCGGCGATGGCGGCGGTGGCTCCGCTGGCTCCGCTCGCCCCGGGCCCGGCTCCGTCCCTTTGTCGCTCGGTGCATTGGTTCCGCCGCGGGCTGCGCCTCCACGATAACCCGGCGCTGCAGGAAGCGCTGCGGGACGCTGCCTCCCTCCGTTGCATCTATATCCTGGACCCTTGGTTCGCCGCCTCCTCCGCCGTGGGCATCAACCGCTGGCGGTGAGTGGGGCCTGAGGGGGCGCCGGGCCCTTCAGGCCGCGGGTGGGCCCGAGGGGGTCGGGGAGCGCCGGGTTGTGGGCAGGAGCTTTCGGTGGGAAGGGGTTTAGGTGGGGTGGCTGGGCCGTGTCGGTCAGGAGCGGGAGCAGCCCACGCTGCCTTCTCTACGGCCCGGTCTGTGTTTTGCTCCCTTCCTAGTTCTCTCCGTGCAGGAGAGAGGTTGCCTTCCCCGGGCTGGCCTCGCCACCGTTCTCACAGCGGTGTTGCCAGGCTGTGTGGGAGGGTGCCTTTAACTTTATGTAATGTCATTAGACTTTCTCCTTGCGAGCTGGCTGGCCGTGTGAGAGCGGCAGCCGAGGGGCGTTTCGGTTTAGGAAGGGTTTTTCTTGAATTCAGAGACAAGACAAGTGCAAAGAAGCATCGGGGATGCGTGGCCACACCACGCCTTCCCTCTGCCCTTCGGCTGCAGAGTGTGCGTAGGCATGTGCCCACGCCTGCCATCTTCCCATCCCCCAATTTTTCTTTTTAATGGGAAAACGCTTTGGCTGTGGCTAGGAAGGTAGCAATGGAGTTGTTGGGGCTTTTCCCCTCTGCAAACGGGAAAATGTTTGGGGTGAGTCATGTCTGTGCAGTACATAAGACCTTATGTACTGGTAGGCAGTAACATTACATAATGCTATTCTGTCAGTTCTCAGCTGCCTAAACATTTGGAAACCCAATCCAGGTAGGGATTTTTTCTCTGCAAGACTCCCCCCGCACACAAACGAAGCAGATCTCCCCCTGCCCTTGTGCTACCCCATCAAGGGGGTTCTGGGCAGGGCAGCCACCTGGCTAAAAATCCTTTAAGTGCACTTTGAAATACCATCTGGCTCTGTGTATAAGGGTAGGGAACCTGTAGTTGTAGCTGATTGCCTCTGCTTGCACAGCTCCGTCTGGGAGAAATGGGATAGTGTGGGTGATTCCTAATGTTTCTAGAACTCCCATCAGAGGATGGCCTAAACGTTGTAAATGTGCAGAAAGGAGCGCAATGTAGGTGTTCAAATTAAAGAAAATTGTGGATTCTGTTACTACTTAGTATCCTAGGAGCCTGAAGAGATACTTCTGTAGACCAGACTTTCTACAAGCAGCAGCAGACAGAAATGCCTTTCACGTGCTGCTGTTGTTGCTAACTGTCCTCATTTGGAAGAACCAAAGCAGTGCCCCCAAAAGATTAATTCCTGATCCATTTAATCCTTGTTTGTTTCTACCAACATTGCAGAGGGAGGGAAGTGGGTAGTCATTTTATTTTTATGTTGTAGCCATGGAATATATGAGCAGGTTATGTTTTTAAAAATAACATTTTCTTGGATGTGCGCACCTACTGCAGATTTCAGAAATTAGCACCACTGGCTGTTAGGCAAAAATGTATTCGCAAGTTTTCTGTATTTACCAGAGTTCCATTGTTTCCCATTAGGAACTTTACCTTTGTTTTGCTATTTATTTTAATTCATTCACTTGTATTCAGTTCTGTGCTCCAAAAGCAAATGTCTGTGTTTTACCTAGCTCCCAGAAATTTATCACGTTCACAATCCCTTATTATTTAACGGCACGGCATGCGTGAGCCATATAGGACTAACCCTTGTTTAATTTTTAAAACACCTTGGAAAGTTAATATGGTTATTTAGTAAATGGAAAGCAGGCTGGAGTTAGGGGAGTGGTTTGTTTAGGTTACCCAGACCTGGTTCTGGGTCTTCTGTACTGTGATAGTGGGCCTTTCTATACGTGAACCCCAAGTCCCATTTTTCCTTGGGATAGGGCAGAGAGAGCTCGTTCTGTCCCAAAGCTTTCAGTTCACAATGCAGGCAGTGCAGCTGAGGAGAGAGGAAGAACCCAGCCTGCAGGGCAGCTGTAGCTTAGCTTTCCTATTAGCTGTGCGTGGTCTTAAGGGAGCTGATGCAGATACTCATGTCTCGCAGGTCACGCTGCAGAGTGGGCACGTAGAAAGGAGGGAGAGGTAGAGGTTGGCAGGCTCACTTACACAGGGCTGCAGGATTGCCAGCCATGCCGCGTGCTGTGGCGGAGATTAAAGTTTTAAAGCTGGTGTCTTTTGCAGAGTTAGACAAAACAAAGTGAAGTTACAATGAAGATGGGGTGACACGTGTGGCTGTGAAAGCAAAGATGATACATTTAATGTTTTATAGCGTAGTGGGGGATCAGTAAGACACCATTACATGCAAAAAGTACTTAAATGCTTTTTTACAGTTCTAGGTGGGAGGGAATAGGTGAATGTCTTGGCATGCTCTCACCTTTGCGTTTCCACGGTAGAAGATAAATCGCAGTTCTGTTTGCAACTATTCCAACTTACAGATAACTTTTGCCTTGGGAGATCTGGCTGCTCAGTCTCTTGCTGCTGATGAGCTAGGAGCATACACTTCTCTCTCATGACATTCCCTGTGTGTAGTCAGGATGGTAAAACTCACGATTCTTGTAGTAATTCATTACTTTCCTTGGAGCAGTGTATCAACATCTTTCTACTTCATATGCAAAACCCCTCCTGCCCCAAAAGCCATGAAAGAATATACAGTAGGGAATTAGATGCTCTATGCTTTTCACCATGTTGTTATGTGGAAAGAGCAGCTGGTAGGGGTGTGCTGCCAGCCTGAGAGAGAACATGGGAAGAGAGTTGCAGGAAAAAGAAAATCCTGGAAACCTCTTGCGTCTGGACAAGCAGAACACGTGTGTGAATGGCTGGGAGCTGGCTGGTGCTGCAATCTCATAGCAGTTGGTAGACAAACCAGAGATTAATACCAATTCCTGTGTTCTGTTTCTTGTCCTAACTTTCAGTTTGATATGGCGGTGCACGTTTGCTGGAGTTCTGAGCAAATTCTCCTCGTTTGCATTTTAGCTGTAACCAGACTGACTGACACTAACTGCTGTTGTTTCTTCTCTGCAGGTTTCTGCTCCAGTCTCTGGAAGATCTGGACAACAGTTTAAGGAAACTCAACTCTCGCTTGTTTGTCGTGCGAGGGCAGCCAACAGATGTCTTTCCCAGACTCTTTAAAGTAAGAGAATAAAGTAATTTTCTGGAGCGTAGTGAAGAAAAATTGATGTCCTGGTGCTATCCTTGTTTTCACTTACTAATGATTTGCTAATTGTTAAGGTGTTAAAATTTCAAAATTCAGAAGCTTTTAATGTCCTGGTGCTATCCTTGTTTTCACTTACTAATGATTTACTAATTGTTAAGGTGTTAAAATTTCAGAATTCTGTTAGCTGACCTTCTTTTTCTTCTGTTCAAGGCTGCGGTTCAGTCAGCTCAGCAGCAGAATACACCTTAAGCACAAGCTTCCTGCTGACATATCATTTAGGACAGTGGAATATGTAGAGACCTTGGTGGTTGATGATGGATTAGTGGGGTACATTTCTAAAGTGATGTCAATGCATTGTGAGAGAGACAGGACTGGCAAGAGCATCTCCTTGCATATCGAGGTTCCTCAAACAGTATCGTTCTTCTCTGTCCTGCTCTAAGATGTATTTCCCTCTATCTTTGAAGCTCTTTGACAGTGTCTTTGCTAGAGTGACAAAGCTAAAGGAAAAAAAAAACATGGTTAATGATAGTCTTGCGAGTTGAATTTGTCATGAGGACTGTACCTTACATATGGTTGACAGAACTAGTGTCCCCAAAGCCTGCTGTAGAGCAGCTGCTGAGAAGCAGAGGTAAACTTGAATCTGTAACCTCCTGCTGTAAATGCTTCTGGTTTGTGTTTTCTGGAGGAGGGCAGTATTGGTGAGGGGAATCTCAGACTATGTGGGTCAGAAGGAGCACTGATATTTATTTTGGCTTCTGCATCTCAGCACATGACACAAACTGCGTGCCACTTGTAGCCTTTTCAGAGCCTAGGATATTTTTATCTTTTGATCTGCAAATGAATTCTGGCTAGTAGTAGTAGTCCATGCCCTTTCAAGGTATTTACAGGATAATTAAAACTTCGTTGGAGAAAAATGGCCATTTGAGTCAAAGAACAAAACATAGTTGGCAGAGTCTGAGCTTTGGGAGATGGAATCAGCCAGACCTGCTTCTTTTAGCTGTAACCAGACTGACTGACACTAACTGCTGTTGTTTCTTCTCTGCAGGTTTCTGCTCCAGTCTCTGGAAGATCTGGACAACAGTTTAAGGAAACTCAACTCTCGCTTGTTTGTCGTGCGAGGGCAGCCAACAGATGTCTTTCCCAGGCTCTTTAAAGTAAGAGAATAAAGTAATTTTCTGGAGCGTAGTGAAGAAAAATTGATGTCCTGGTGCTATCCTTGTTTTCACTTACTAATGATTTACTAATTGTTAAGGTGTTAAAATTTCAGAATTCTGTTAGCTGACCTTCTTTTTCTTCTGTTCAAGGCTGCGGTTCAGTCAGCTCAGCAGCAGAATACACCTTAAGCACAAGCTTCCTGCTGACATATCATTTAGGACAGTGGAATATGTAGAGACCTTGGTGGTTGATGATGGATTAGTGGGGTACATTTCTAAAGTGATGTCAATGCATTGTGAGAGAGACAGGACTGGCAAGAGCGTCTCCTTGCATATCAAGTTTCCTCAAGCAGTATCGTTCTTCTCTGTCCTGCTCTAAGATGTATTTCCCTCTATCTTTGAAGCTCTTTGACAGTGTCTTTGCTAGAGTGACAAAGCTAAAGGAAAAAAAAAAAAACATGGTTAACAATAGTCTTATGAGTTGGATTTGTCATGAGGACTGTACCTTACATATGATTGACAGAACTAGTGTCCCCAAAGCCTGCTGTAGAGCAGCTGCTGAGAAGCAGAGGTAAACTTGAATCTGTAACCTCCTGCTGTAAATGCTTCTGGTTTGTGTTTTCTGGAGGAGGGCAGTGTTGGTGAGGGGAATCTCAGACTATGTGGGTCAGAAGGAGCACTGATATTTATTTTGGCTTCTGCATCTCAGCACATGACACAAACTGCGTGCCACTTGTAGCCTTTTCAGAGCCTAGGATATTTTTATCTTTTGATCTGCAAATGAATTCTGGCTAGTAGTAGTAGTCCATGCCCTTTCAAGGTATTTACAGGATAATTAAAACTTCGTTGGAGCAAAACGGCCATTTGGGTGAAAGAACAAAAAGTAGTTGGCAGAGTCTGAGCTTTGGGAGATGGAATCAGCCAGACCTGCTTTTGCTGCAGTCTGTTTTGCCTGGGCAGGTGAGGTGATGAATATCTTAGGTGTGCTGTAACAGAGCTGAAAAGATTGCAGGGTTGGTTTTTATGCTATTATATGGTAGATATATGGCTTTTGTGGGAGCTAAGGCTTCTCCAGAGCTGCTGCACTGAACACTGAATTAGCAGCAGCTCATGCCTTGCTGTCGGCTGTTGTGGAGAGGAGAGTTATGTCATATGTGGTAATGCAACACTTAGACCTAATAGAATTTCTGCTCTTGCTGCCAGTAGCTGAGCTGTGTTGTTGATAACAGTGGCTGCAAAGGCACTATTATGCATGGGTATCATGAGGAGGAGTGCACTTATTAGCTGTGTTAACCTTTGCAGAAATTTTTTTCTCTCGCTTCCTCTGAACAAACATCTGTCATTTTACCTTTTCTATCAAAGAAAAGTTTGTTGCTTGTTCACTGAAGTTTGCTCACAATTCCTTAGGTGGGTTTTTTCTTCCTCCTGCAATTTTTCTTTGCCGTAGTCTAGATACTAAGAGACAAGTCAGTCATCACTTTTCTTTTGTACCTCTACAGCAATTTATTGTTTTACAATTTACAGTTTTCTGGTTGGTTCTGCTCTGCTTCCTGTGTGCTACTGTAGCACATGGAGTGGTGGGCTTCTCAAAACTTTTGGAAATCCTTTATTCTTACTTAAAATTTCTGTTAGCCTTAAATGTTTTTTTTGGGGTTTTGTTGTTCCGTTCTTTTCTTTCAAGGCAGTAGTGTGTGTTTCTTCAAGACTAAACCCCTCTTTTCCAAGCCTTTTAGCTGTTACTGTCTCTCTTACAAAAGAAAGAAAAAGTTTTAAATGAAGCTGTTAAATCATATAGGAGCAGGGCAGGGCTTGGAACATATCTGACCCCTACTCTGAGTTATAGATGCTGTCGTGTTCTTATTTTGTAAAACAAGTGGAGGACCTCTCTGAGACATACATTCTGTGGTATGTAACTGTTCTCTGTCCTTCCAAATATTAATTTTAGGATGGAACCTGAAAGTTTAGAAAAGAAGGGGTGTTGTACAGCTGTTTGCTGCTTCTAAATTCCCTTCCCCATCTTTGGCATTATTTTGTAATGGTCTTTAGTGAACTAATTATATCTGTTCTTTGTGCTTTTTTTCTGTTTCTGGAAAGTCTGAGGTAGAAAAGACTGTCCTGTATATAGAGAGTTGACTTAGACCGTCTCACTTGGGGAATGTAGTTCACATCTTAGTTGTGTGAGGGGTTTTTTAAGTGTGTCTCTAGACTTCTGACTGTGTTTGACTAAAGTGTTTGCTAAACAAATCTGTGGGCTGCTGCTCTGCTTGATGGATGTCTCGGGAGGGTCGCTGTGGAAACCATTAAACCTCTTCTCATAGGATTCATTTTCTGAGGAAAACTAGGCCATAGTCTTTGAGAGCAAACTGTGCTCTGGAAAAGCCTGAATGCTATTTCATAAGGCCTATTCCATGAAATCTGTGAGGGACCTATTAAAGGTGTGAAGATACAGAATAGGTGCATGGCACGTCTAGTGTGAAAGAGCTCCCCAAAGGCAGGACTTTTAAATTAAATCTGAATTGCAGTCTCATACTCTACTGTGCTGCCCAGAAAGGTTCCCTCAGTTGCCATCCTTTGTCCTGTGTTTCCCACTGCCTTGTCTTTTGCTGTTTGGGTTGGACCTTGGTCGTCTTTATTATGTGATGGCTTTAAAGAGACATTGAAAAAAAATTTAGAGTGTATTGGTTTTACTTAATGATACTGTCCACAGAAAAAAATACAGGGTTTTGAGCAGGATTTGTATTGCAAGAGTTCTCTGAAAAGCTGTCTCTGCAAATGCTGTAACAGGATGTTAGGGTTAGTTTTGGACAGAGCGTGCAACAAAAGAAGGTGTTGGAGACTGAGCTGTAACTGAAGAACGTTCATAGTGCAGAACTCAAACCTCCTCTTCCGTGTTTTAAACCCGACATAGAGGAATTTGCATAAGCAATGCTTGCTAGAGCTGATAAAATTGTTGATTCTTTGGTTATCTCGACTCCAGACTGCTCTTCCTTACAGGAACCCTCTCTGAGCTTCCAGGACTTAATTCCAGGACCTGTGTGTTAAGGAATTAATACATGGGCCAGGAATTCTGACGTCCTTGTTTGCAATTGTGCTGGTTAGAAAGCCTTCTGTTTGACAGCTGTGTATATTGTGCTTCTTGCAGGAATGGGGAGTCACTCGTCTCACCTTTGAGTACGACTCGGAGCCGTTCGGCAAGGAGAGAGATGCAGCTATTGTCAAACTGGCCAAGGAGGCTGGCGTGGAGGTGGTGATAGAGAACTCCCACACCCTCTATGACCTGGACAGGTAAGGGGAGAGAAAGGGCAGAGGTTCTGCCCGGGCTAGGCTGGGATTGTCCCGTGGGGAAAGACTTCCGGCTCTTCCATGACGCTGATGGCTGGTCGCTGTCATCCTGTGTGAGCCTAGAAGGTGTCAACAGGATTACTCCTCACGCTCACACTTTTGATTAGAGCACGCCAAAGCGCTGACGGTGACGTGAAGGTACGGAAAGGTGTTGCCTCAAGCTTATTAAACTGTATGTGACGGTCATTTAAGTTGCTCAGCTGTGTCCTATTGATTGTTCTCCTTGAGCACGTCCTCCCTGCGTGGACTGCGTTTTTTTTGCTTCATTGTAATAAAGATAGTTGAGGTGTTGGCTCAAACGGGTTATGAAGGCAGGGCTTTTAACTGATGGACGTGCCAGGACAGCTGGAAGAAGGAACAAGGTAGATTGGGGCAAACTTACCTTACTCTAAAATCTGAATGCCTTGTCTTTGTTGTGTATTTGCTATGGGGAGAACTTTGCCTTGATGGTAAATTTTATATATTTACTTATATATATGATCACCTTAACAGTCTTTCTAGTAAGACTCTAAGGTATGCTTGACTTCGGCCATGTTTCAGTACTGTAAATTTTATATATTTACTTATATATATGATCACCTTAACAGTCTTTCTAGTAAGACTCTAAGGTATGCTTGACTTCGGCCATGTTTCAGTACTGTTCTTACAGGTTGCTTGCCTTTTTCTTTTGTTTTTTCTTTTTTTTCTTTATGCAGGGGGTGGGGATGACTTGTGCCAGTAATACTGAATGTAAATTTCCTCCTAGAAAGCTTTAGCATTCATAATTTCCTATGGGAAGGAGCTTTGCAGTTAGCACATGCTGTGCGGAAATGTTTGTCTTTGGGGTGTGGGGGATTCTTGATCCTGTCTCATGAGCAGACACTGCTTTCTAATTTTTGCGTTACAAGAGATCATTAATACCTATTACATCCTCATGTCTTCATTGTCAGTGCCCCTCACATCTTTCCTCATGTCATCTTTGTCTTTTCCAACGTGGAGAGTCCTAGTTTACATAAGTTTTCAGGTGGAATCTGTTCCATATCTCTTCTAAGATTTGTCACCTTTCTTTATACTTCTGGGTATTTTTAGACACACAGAACAGTGGTGAAAACTGTAGCTAGTGTTCTAAATGGAGGAGTGACTTGCACTTGTATAATGCTATAATGTTTCCTCTCTTCTCCTAATAGTCGCTAGTATTCTTTTTGCTTTTTCTGAGCACAGCTGAACACTCAACTGATGCCTCAGGGCTTCCTTCCAGAATGGTCATAGCTATTTGGGAGGCTGCTACTATATAAGTAAGTTTAAGATTGCATCGCAATGCATATGGAGAAACAACATGACCAACACTGCATTTCATCTGATATTTTTGTCAGCTGTTCACATAGTATTCGGGGAAATTTTTAAGTTGCCTTTCATTTTTAGCTATCCCAGATAGCTTCTTACGTCAGTAAACTTTATTATCATGCTCTATTTTGTCCCTTCACAGATAATCTATGAATAATGTTGAGCAGCATAAGCCCAGCTCTGTAGGATTTTTCCTCCTGTTGAATTCCGACTCTATCCTGTATCTCAAAGAATTTTCTGTCTGCAGGAACCTTTTGCTTTTTCCCAATCTATCTTGGTTTCTTTAAAAATTTTCAGTGAGGGATCTAGTCAGATGGATTCTGAAAATCCAGGCAGAGTATAGCAACTGCTCAAAGCTCAAATGTCACTAGTAGATTTTGAGTCACAATTTCCCTTTACTGAGGTCAAATTAACCCTCCAGCATATTGTATACACCCATGCATTCACTGATTCCATTAGCATTTTTCTACCCATCTGGTCACAATTTCCCTTTACTGAGGTCAAATTAACCCTCCAGCATATTGTATACACACCACTGATTCCATTAGCATTTTTCTACCCATCTGCCTAATGCACATTTCAGACTTTCTATTCTGTCAGCCCTTGAAATGCTTTTTAAATCTAGAGGCATATTGGCTTTTTTTTTCCCTCAAAATATTCAGACAGTTTTGTGTTAAGTGCAGCAGCTATGAGTTTGGGTATTTCTTCTTGTTCTTCACAGCTCCTGGGTGAATCCTTGCTGGTCCTGGCAGCTGTTTCTGTTCAAACATAGCTTTGTTTTGTGGTGTTTCTTCCTTAACTTCCCAGTCTGTGACCTCTCCTGATACATTTCCTTAAAGAGATGCAGAGTGGCAGCCTCCCCAAAAACCTCCATAGTGGATACACGTGCAAAATGAAATGCATGGATTTTGGCTGTGGTGTTACAGTCTCTGCTTTTTTTAAGAGTTAATCACTTCTTAGCTCTATAAATATGTTGGAGTGTCTGTAAATGGTTATTATTTTTTTATTATTTATTTTTATGATTTATGTTTGGTTTGGGGTGTTTTTCTAAGGTTTCTTAAACTTCCATTTGGGTTGGGAGGTGCAAGGAGGCTGCTTTTGCATTTTTTTTAATTTAACCTACCAGTTTGGATTTTTTCTGTCTTTATTTACCTTTCATTTTTCTGAAAGATTTTGCCTCTGTTAATACCTTTGACGATGCTATCCTTTAATTATTTTGACTTTCATGATCTTTCTGAAATCTTTTTCGATGGTTTGTGGGCATTTGTTGGAATTTCTTTTCCCCGGTTGTCTTCAAATCATTCCCGTGTTGCCTGTCAGCGTTTGACATCTCAGCTTGTTCCTTTTGCTTAGTTCACTTCCTTATTTTTATGTGTTTCTCTTCTTGAAGCAAAAGCCATTATGGTATTGTTGCTCCTGGAAGGATGTTAAATTGATGCCTGCCAAAGTCACACCTAGAGCAGGCCAGTGAAAACCAACATTTTCAGCTACCCCTTTGTGCTGCTTAAGACCAAATCGTGAATTGCCTTTCCTTGTGGGTCCCTGATTAATCATTTCGTGGAGCAGTCATTTATGGCAACTGGAAAATTGGTTTTTGGCAGGCGGTGGGGTGTGACAGCTACCCAGTCTGTGTGGAGGCAGTTGAAGACTCCAGTTACTCTGACATTTCCTGGTTCTTGGCTTCTTGGAGATTTCTCAGCAGGTGGTAATGCAGTTCTATCTAATACTGTATTTCTCCTGGAAGCCTCTCTTGGAGTAAATGACCCTCCAGTCGTGTTACCCAGTCTTTTAATTCACGGTATGTGCTGTCCCTCTTCAGCCTCCTGTTTTTCTTGCATAATTAGTAACCTGGTGGTAGTGTCCTACTTTAATCAAGTTTCCAACAAGGTTGTCAATGATCATGGTTTTGAACAATTTAGACTAATCTTTCACTTCTACATAAATGATTCCAGAAGTCCTTCTCTTGTCCCCTGCAGCATATTCCCAGTACCACCGTCACCACCAGCTATTGATGATTTTAAACATTTTCAAAGAGCCTGTTCAGTTAAGTGTGAATTTGACTGGTTCTACCCAGTAGGAAGATTGCAATATGCTCCTTGTTGGCACTGCCAGCATAACTGTGTGCTTGTCAGAGCATCTTTCCCCTCCTCTCCACTAAAACAAAGAGAAGGCTGCACAAAATCAGCATCAATGCTGGAAAATATTCCTAAGAAAATGTAGGAATTCCCAGATAAGATTAGTGATGTTCAGATTGTAGAAGTCATACAGAAAAGATAATCTCTTGGGTATCAGCTTAGCCTGCTCAAAGCCTTTGCTTGACAATTATTCTGTCTGACAACTTCCAGCTGACAGGTTGTTTTGTCCCTTCTCTGGATCTGCCTGGTTTGTTTTTTTTTTCCTCCTTAGGATCTAAATCCTCTGTAGTCTGCTTGCTGATGGTCAGCATTGTGGTTTCTGTAATCCCGGGCAGGCCTGGGTTATTCAGGGGGAGTGGTTTAGGTCAGAAGAGAACACTGTGAGCTTGTATGTTTGTAGCATGCATCAGGAGCAGCTCTTCCTCAGATATTGTAGCCTAAGGCTGAAACCATAGTTAAATGCACTTTAATAGGAGTATTTACTAACTTAAAGGAACCAAGCACTGGGGAAAAATGCATGCCTTGCTGGTTCTGCAATTCATAATTACACTGTGCCAAAAAAAAAGCGGTTTATTTCCATCTGGGAAGGTTAAGTCAAACTTCTGCCTGCCAGATCTTGTTATCCTTGTCTGTCTTGCGCGGTGCTCTGGTGTCAAGTGTTTTCCCCTGCACTGATGCCCAGCCTGTCATCAAGTCAGTCCTTCATCTTTCATACGCTCGTGTCTATGTGTGTGTGATTCTGTGGAAGTTGAATTGTTTGTCCTTTGTCCAGCGTCCATTGTGTGGAATATCTCCCAGTTATCTCTCCATCTTCTCTTCCAATCTGTAGAAATACCCCTTGTCTTCTGTACGAGTAGCCCTCCCTGAACTCTCCGAAGCGAGGATTTAGATCAGAGCAATTGCATAAGCTGGCCAGGCTGACTAAATGGTCTGCGTGAGCTGGTAGTGGGGGCGTGCTTGCCGAGGGGCTGGCAGCCAGCTCTTCCTCGCCCGAGGAAGCAGGGGGGAGCACATTCAGTCCCTGGCCATAACCGGGGCCCTGCCGTTTGCAAACGAGCTGAGGTGTCGGGTTTTTGAGGTGATCAGCCTTCCCTAGCCCGGTAGCCATCCTGCTGGGGCACTGCTGTGGAGATGTGAGTCAGAAGCTGACAATCTGTGGGGGTGTGCATTCGGAGCCTGCAGACGCTCTGCTCTCACAGGTCACTGACCATAGGACACCATGAAATCCTAGCAGCACCAGAACTATCTTTGGTCAGGTTTTGGTTGCCTGCTTTCTTGAGGGAAAATGTGACTGGGAATCAAAAAGACCCTCATAATTTCTGGCACCCAGCTACCACTGTCAGGTTGCTAGTCTGGTTGCTTGGCCATTTTTATGATGTTTGCTAGCACCAAAAAGGTTAGCTTTTGTATGATGATGAATACAGTGATTCTGCTCTTTTCTGTTCCACTTCAAGAAAACTAGAAGAATAACTGTCACGTGTAGTCCAAGAGTTGCGCTGAGGGAGACGGATGAAATGGGAGAATTGAATCCTGGGGAGTGTTCTCCCTTTTTCTGACATTGGGGAAAGTCCTGTGAGGTTGTGCTGCCTGGGTTAGAAGGTCAGTAGGAGGAAGGAAAGGACTCCTGTCTGGGGGGCTTCCTGTACAAATCTTTATACAGAAGGCTGAACAGCACTACAATACCTACTGTGTATCATATAATATCCAATATGGTACAATACCCAGTATTTCATGGCAGTATTGTGAAAGGTTCAAATTTTGTTGCATAATGCCAGCGTCAGGTGCTGTGAAACGTGCAAGCTGTCCTAGCCCTATCTCTTTTCCAAGATTTGTGTCCCAGATCCAACAACTGCCTGTTTAGGAATTTAGGAGCTGTACTAGGGGATTTCACTTGTATCCACGTTCTGGAGGATGTCAAATACAGATACTGGCATCCACCTGCGAGTCACAGGGATTTGCTCCCCAGTGTCTGTCTGTTCACAAAAGTTCTGGCTGTGGATCTGGGAGGTGGTGTAACACCGTGGATCTGGGGACTGAGCTTCATCCTCGGCAGATCTGTGGAAGAGGACTGGAAAAAAAGAGGCAGTGTTAGAGAAGTAGCTTCCCCTCCTCCATCCCGAGCACCTCAGGGCAAACACAGTGCAGCTCTGTCACGTTTTTGAGTCCAAGCTCTGCAGTACTGTGGAAACCAGAGTGCTGTAACTGGAAACGCCTCCCCAGAATCATAGAATTGTTATAGAGTTGGAAGGGACCTTAAAGACCATCCAGTTCCAACCCCCTGCCCTGGGCAGGGACACCTCCCACCAGACCAGGTTGCTCCAAGCCCCATCCAGCCTGGCCTTGAACCCCTCCAGGGATGGGGCAGCCACAGCTTCCCTGAGCAACCTGTTCCAGTGTCTCACCACCCTCAGGGTAAAGAATTTCTTTCTGGCATCTAATCTAAATCTCCCCTCTTCCAATTTAAAACTGTTACCCCTTATCCTGTCACTACACTGCCTGACAAAGTCCCTCCCCATCTCTCCTGTAGCCCCTTTAGGTACTGGAAGGGGCTCTAAGGTCTCCCTGGAGCCTTCTCTTCTCCAGGCTGAAGAACCCCAGCTCTCTCAGCCTGTCCTCACAGGAGAGGTGCTCCATCCCCTCTGATCATCTTCTCTTCCAGCTGATTTTTCTGAGGATCTCTGCTAATTCGATGGGCTCGTTTGGGGGACCCCAGTGCTCTCAAAGCAAGCCCTAGAGATGATTGTGGTTCTGTGGGGTGGCAGGCAGAGACGGCTGGCCAAAAACCTGGTGCGTGAAAGGAGGAGGAGATGCTCTGTGGTGTGAGGGGGCAGGACAGGCCGCGCTGCCTGCCAGGCCCCCACCCTCTCTTTCTCCCGCTGCTCGCAACTTCCAACCGGAAAAAAACCGAAGGAAAAAGCAGGGGGGGGTCGGGTTTTTAATTGTTTTTAACGTCGGCGCTGCCGGTTCCCGAAGGCCGCCCCCCTGGGCCAGCGGGCGGTGTGTGGGAGGCCGGGAGCTCCCGGCCTAGATGGCGGCGGGGCGGCGCGGCCTGGCCTCCCCTCCCCGGTTGCGGTTGCTCGGCGGGGCGGGGAGCCGGGGTTCAGCTCCGAGCACACGTGAGGGGAGGAGGGCTCCGGGTCCCGGGGAAGGCCCCCGGGGGCGGCGTGTCGCTCCTCCTCGTTACACGTGCGGCTACGGGGGAGAGGAGGGGGGGGAAGGAGAAGGAAGGAAGGAAGGGAGGGCACATGGCGGCAGCCGAAAGGCTGGGCTCTAAGCCCAGCCCCTTGCATAAGCTGTTGACTGTACCATGGGTGGGGAAGGGAGGCTGTGCTGCAGCTCCTGTGGGGTTGGCTGCCTCGGCTTTATGTAATGCTGGCCGTCCCCGTGCCGTTCTGCTTTGCTGTTAACTCCATCCTCTCCCAAGGGAAGAGGGGGTGTAGAACTGGCATGTTTCATCCAGGGGAAGCTTAGCTTGCCCGGGGGGCTTCTCGGAGTCCTAGGGAAAAATGAGGCTGCACGGGCCTAAGAGGCCATGGATGTGGTGTGGAGAAAGAGTCAATCACCAGAGTTATTAAGCAGGCATTCTTTATTTGCGGCGCCGGACACGTAGGGGATATTTCCTCCAAATATCCATACCGATGGTCAAGGGGTTCAGGCTTGTATTTCAGCAGTACATGCACATTCATATTACTTCCTGTTTAACCTATTTGGTATCTTTCTGAGAACATAGGTATTCACCCCTATTCACAGGCGTGTTGTGATGTCTAGGGTCCTCAGGTACTCTGGTGGTCTTTGTAGTCTTGCTCCTAAAGCGATTTTGCTCAGCTGTGTCAGCTTTAGCAAGCTCCTACTTCCCATATCTCTCAGGATGCTGTATTCTCTGCGATTGTGGCTCTTGCTTGCCCCAACCTTCCCTGCCCAGCAAGCACAATTGCCTCTCTGATCCTCCACCAAGCCCCCTGCTCTATGTTAGTTTCCTACATCAGGTGCTTAGTGAAGTAGAGGAATGTCTCTATTCTCCTATTCCTCCTCTAGTCCTCTAGAAGAGGCTGTCTTTTCCTTAGCATGATCTGACACAGGTGAATAGCATGCGACGGGTCTGCTCGTGACCTTATGGCATGGGGGAAGATGGGGATTTCTCTAATCACGGGAGAGAGGAATGACGCAAACTGGGATTTGTCTCATCTGAGATACTGACCCCCCCCGCCTAACAGGCTGGGATTTCTTGTGTCAGACCAGGAGGAAGTAAGGTCAGAATCAGGTTAGGATAGCACATGGTGTCAGGGGGAGCATTTGCAGGTCTGACATCTGCTGTCTTGGGGAGACATAGGCAGTGATTAGATTGAGATTTTGTACAGGGGTCTGATGAAGAGCTCTGGGAGAGAAATGTGATGCTAAGCCCAATTCAGATGAAGCCATTCTGGTTTATTCCCATGGACATGAATTAGTATGTGGGGTTTTGTTTTCTGGTGTGTCTTGGGATTTTGTTTGTTTTTCATATCCCTTTGAGGGATGCATCAAGCGGAAGCTAGATCTATAAGGACTTCTGTATCCAAAGTGAAAGGCTGTCCTGAGCAGAGACAGTGGGATGCAGTTTGGCTGTCACTTCTTTGTTTCTTTTGTGGTAGTGAGGCTGTGTTGTTTCACCATGTTTATTTTGTCTGCAGAATAATTGAGCTGAATGGCCACAAGCCACCCCTCACCTACAAGCGCTTCCAGGCCATCATTAGCCGTATGGAGCTCCCAAAGAAGCCCGTGAGCACCATAATGAGCCAGCAGATGGAGACGTGTAAAGTGGACATCCAGGAGAACCATGATGACGTGTATGGAGTCCCATCCCTGGAAGAGCTGGGTATGTGTTGAGAGTGAAGGCAAGGGTTAACTGCCAGCTGAAACGGGATCTAGTGAAGCTGTTTCTGATGGCTGGCATGTGCCTAGGACAACTCGTGTTCTCTTCTGACCTGGGCTGTCTCTAGCCATGGAAGCAGCCTAATGTATTCAGCGGGTGCTGGACCTCGTGAAATCGGGCTACTGTGGATGCACAGCGTCCCCTTTAGCCTTGCTCTGAAGCGCTCTGCATCTGTCTTTATGTTCTCTGTTACACTGAGCATGTAACTACTGTATCAGTGTCTCATGTCCTCGCCAGCTGCTTTCCTCCTGCTGCCATCCCTGACACGTTGTGTAACAAACCTGAAGAGGTAAACTAACTGTGTACCAGGCTTAGATCATTTCATTCCGTTATTGACAAGCAGCACCAATTTGGGAGCTTAGCAAGACAAAAGATATTACAGAAACTTCTTTCACTCATCCTGCTATGCCTTATGGTCCTGTATTTTTCTTGGAGAAGGAGGATGAATAGAGAGCTGAGGCATGAAGAATGCGAAGCCTACATCATAGAATCATAGAATTGTCTAGGTTGGAAGGGACCTTTAAGATCATCTAGTCCAACCGTCAACCTAACTCTGACCAAACAAAATAAACAAAAGCTCCACCATCACTAAACCATGTCACTAAGCACTTATGTCAGCCCATCTTTTGGAAACCACCAGGGATGGTGCCTCAACCGCTTCCCCGGGCAGCCCATTCCAATGCTTAATAACCCTTTCAGTGTAAAAAAATTTTGTAATATCCAATCTGAACCTCCCCTGGTACAACTTGAGGCCATTGCCTCTTGTCCTATTGCCTGTGACTTGGGAGAAGAGACTGACCCCCGCTCTCTAAACCTTCCTTTCAGGTAGTTGTAGAGAGCAGGAAGGTCTCCCCTCTCTAGGCTGAACAACCCTAGCTCCTTCAACCTCTCCTTGTAAGACTTACTCTCCAGACCCCCCACCAGCTCCATTCCCTTCTCTGGACCTGCTCCAGCCCCTCAATGTCTTTTTTGTGGGAAGGGGCCCAAAACTGGCAGCACTCGAGCTGGATGGACACAGCCATCAGGGAAGTGAATCTAAATGCAAGGGAAGAAAGGATTAATGCAGAGTGCTGTCTGCGTGTACACACACGCAGGTTGGAGGCTCCATACCAGCTTTATAGGAGTCTCACCTTGTACCTTAAGGTGCAGTTTCAGCAGTCATGTAAAAGCAGAGGACTTCACAACAGGAGTATCCTGAGGCTTGCAGTCCTGGGTCCATCTGCTGCCTTTATTGTCTGGCTTAATTCAAGACTGCCTGCAGCCTTCCAGTGCTCTGCTTGCTGCCAGGGGAGGCTCCTCGGTCAGCCCAGAGCGGCGTAAAGCAACTGCATTATTACTTCCCCTTTTGTATCAGTTCTTCAACACTAGTGCCCTTCCTCAGCACCCGCTGTCAGCAGAATAGGAGCCTTATGAGGAGCAGCCAGGCTCTCTAGTGAGCTGCAAGGTATTTTGTAAGGCAGAGCAGATGTGCCTCTGCCAGCTGTTCCGGCCTTTGGAGCAGAGCCCTGTGGGTAGGGCTGACACACACGAGAGAGTGCTGGCGTATGAACAATAGGAAAAGTCCCCAGAAAGCTGCCTGAAGCATTGCAGGGAGAGTCCCTTGTGGTGTGTCACGAGCAGGCTCTCCCTGTGTTCCATATGATTTGCCTGACTTAGAAGGACTAGAGCAGCAAGTAAGCTGTTAGGCAACTGCAGTATGTAGTGTCTTGCTGCTATTAATGCTTAATCCAGTCTATACTGTTTGTCTGAGCGTGGCTTCAAATCTTACAAGGTTCTTTCCTTCAGGCTTTCCTACGGACGGTCTGGCCCCTGCAGTTTGGCAAGGAGGGGAGACAGAAGCCTTGGCGCGGCTGGATAAACACTTGGAAAGAAAGGTAACCCTATCTGTAAATAACAGATTTAAGTGCTGATTCCTGCAGGCTTTGCCTCCAAACGAAAAATGTTGAGCATTGGCCATTGCTCTCTTTCCCTGCTCCAAGCAGCAGTTGCAGCATTCCCCTCTGGAAGGGGTGTTTGGTATTGTTGGAGTACCCCTGTGATCTTGGGTTGCACGTGGAGAAGGGATCTCCTGGGCTTCCTCAGGCCCAAAGAAGTAGGGCCGTATATTAATTATGCTGCTGTTTGAAGCACATAGGATTCTATTCCTTGTTTCTACCCCTCAGTTTCCTTCAGAGGAGTGCAAAGTTGGAAACTCTCATTCTAAGTTGCTCGGTTCCTCCTGCACACTCCACAACATCTCATTTTGTCTCTAGCTCAGGTATCGGTGCCAAGTACGTGCTCATAAAAGAATGCCTGCCCCTTGTACATCACCCTCTTAATACGGTGTCTCACTGGCTGGCATTCCTTGAACGCCTTGCTGAAATACTAGTTGTTTTTTTTCTATGGGGCATGTGTTCTTGATTATAGTGCACAAGGCAAACAATTTCAGATAATGAAAGATTACCCCGCTGCAGAGGCATGACTTACTTTTAACCAGTTTGTATCTTTTTAATCCTGGGTGTCTTGGTGGCAGTTGTAGAGATCAAAGCATAAATTCTTGTGCTGAAGGGGGAATAAACTGTCAATATAATACTCCACAAAAAGCTCTGGATTTCACTAGTTTTCTTGTTTAGTGTGTAAACTGTGATGGACATACCTGGACATAAACAATTGCGCTACCTTGTGTCCTTAGAAGCTCTGAGGGCTATTAGCTCTCACATGCAAAGCAAATTTAGTCCTGTTTGTAAGGGGAATGACTAAAAATGACTAAATCTTTTAAATCCTGGAGCAAAACTTTTGCATTTCCTGAATGGGGTGTGGGGGTTGGGATTGTCCTCTTGAGAGGTGAATAGAAGAGACTCTGCTGTCAGACCTGAGTTGGCCTCACCACTTGCACAGAGGCCTGCCCTTAGCAGAGTCCCACCGATTTTGGGGGGGGATTTTGGCTCATTTCTCCTGAACATATCTAGGCATGGGTTGCAAATTACGAAAGACCGAGGATGAACGCCAACTCGTTGCTGGCCAGCCCTACAGGCCTCAGTCCCTACCTGCGCTTCGGCTGCTTGTCCTGCCGCTTGTTTTACTATCGTCTCTGGGAGCTGTATAAGAAGGTAAGACCAAAGGTTCATCTGGAGAGCAGGCTGGATTTGAGCGTAGCGTGATGCTACAGTTGCAAAAGTTACTGTTGCCTCCCTTGTGTTTGACGGTTGGGTTAAGCGTGTTGCTATTGCAGAAGAGGCTCTGGGGTGAGGAAAAGTGATTCTCCTGCATATAATCAAGCAAACTTTAAATTTGTCGATATCTTCTTCTTCAACCTGGACTCCTGTGTCATGAGCCGTGTAGGGCTTTTTGCTGTTAGTTTTAGTTTTGGGTCATCCAAGTCTCCTGTCAGGGCACAGAGTGAGCTAAAAGCAACACTGACTTTTCTACCTGGGGTTTGTGGTGAAGGATGATCTGGAACTGAGCTCCTTTATGGCAGTTGTCAGTAACCGACTTGGGAATTGTATGCAAATGCATGGGTGGCTTGCAGCTGGGATTAATGAAGCCAACTCCTCCCCTGCTTGTGAGTACCCTTGTTTTCTCCTCCCCAGGTAAAGCGGAACAGCACGCCGCCCCTCTCTCTGTACGGGCAGCTTCTGTGGAGGGAGTTTTTCTACACAGCAGCCACAAACAACCCAAAGTTTGATCGAATGGAGGGGAACCCCATCTGCATCCAAATTCCCTGGGACAGGAACCCTGAAGCCTTGGCAAAGTGGGCAGAGGGCAAGACAGGCTTCCCTTGGATCGATGCGATCATGACCCAACTGAGACAAGAAGGGTGGATCCACCATCTGGCCAGGCACGCCGTAGCCTGCTTCCTGACCAGGGGCGACCTCTGGATCAGCTGGGAGTCAGGAGTCAGGGTGAGTCTGACTTTTCCAGAGCCTTGCAGGAGGCCATAAGGAAAACACTCTCCCTGGCACTCACTGCAAGGATGGGCACACAGGTATGGCCATTGCTTTGCAAGTAAAAGTGATGTGGAAGAGAGGATTTGCTAGCAGGCTCTTAGCCGTAGCCTGCTTCCTGACCAGGGGCGACCTCTGGATCAGCTGGGAGTCAGGAGTCAGGGTGAGTCTGACTTTTCCAGAGGCTTGCAGGAGGCCATAAGGAAAACATTCTCCCTGGCACGCACTGCAAGGATGGGCACACAGGTATGGCCATTGCTTTGCAAGTAAAAGTTACGTGGAAGAGAGGATTTGCTAGCGGGCTCTCAGCCTGCCAACTGCCTGACTTCTTTCTGCCTTCTACCATGAGGCTCTGACAGTATGAAGAGTCTCCAGTAACCATAACTAAATGTTAGTGGGACCTGCTGGTAAATAGGGAGTGGGCCTTTGGGGGCTTTTTTATTTATTTGTAAAAGTTCTCTCAGTCTGTCTGTTTTCTTTGCAAATGGAATGTCACTTTGTAACTGGACCTTTTTCCTCGTTGTATAATCCATCACCGTGCCGGTCAGGGAACGCTCCATGATTGTGAAATCAAGGAAAGAGGTAAAAGACCCTCCTTTTGGGCCATCTGAAGGGACAGACAGCTTGAACCTATCCAATGTACATACAAAAAGCAGAGGCAGGAGCATCTGGTCACAAAGCTGGCAAAGCAGAGCGTAGCTGAAAGTGCATCGTAGGGTCAGATGCTGAAAGCCCAGCGTCTGTGCATGGATGTGAGCGAATTACTGCTGAAACCTGTCTGCCTCTCAGTGGCAGTGTGCTCTGGGACCTTCGGAGGGGTTCTTCCTTCTTGCTTTGGTGCTTGTTCTTCCTGTGCAGCATCTGCCTGCTTCCCACAGTTGGTGCTTTGCACTTGTTACGCCTCCCAGGTTAGGATCGATACCCAGGGCTTGCTGCAACACTAGGTAGTGGTTTAGTCTGTAGCTGCGTGAGAGAGAAGCCAGCACTGTGTCAGCGTGAGCAGACACTGCCTCCTTACATGAAAGCATCAGGAAGTGAGATATATTGACCAACCAGCTGGCTTCAGCCAGCAGATTAATGCTGCTGCTGCTCTGGCTTCTAGGAGCTGTTCTCCCAGCTCAGTGCCTGCCATGTGGGATAGCATCTTGGGCTTTCCTGCCACAGACACCTGCCCGGGGAAGCTCTCACTGTCTTTTTCCTCCACTTGCTGCAGGTATTTGACGAGCTGTTGCTGGATGCGGATTTCAGCGTAAATGCAGGCAGCTGGATGTGGCTTTCATGCAGTGCATTCTTCCAGCAGTTCTTCCACTGTTACTGCCCCGTGGGCTTCGGACGTCGCACAGACCCCAGTGGTGACTACGTTAAGTAAGTGATGTGACTGGAGCTTCTTTCTTAGAATCATAGAATCATTCAGGTTGGAAGAGACCCTTGGGATCATCGAGTCCAACCATCTCCCCTACTCTACAAAGTCCTCCCCTACACCATATCCCTCAGTACCGCATCTAAACGTCCCTTAAACACATCCAGGGATGGTGACTCAACCACCTCCCTGGGCAGCCTGTTCCAATGCCCGACCACTCTTTCAGTGAAAAATTCCTTCCTAATGTTCAGTCTAAACCTCCCCTGTTGGAGCTTGAAGCCGTTCCCTCTTGTTCTGTTGTTAATTACCTGTGAGAAGAGAGCAGCACCAACCTCTCTACAGTGTCCTTTCAAGTAGTTGTAGAGAGTGATGAGGTCTCCCCTCAGCCTCCTCTTCCTCATACTAAACAGCCCCAGCTCCTTCAGCTGCTCTTCATATGATTTGTCTTCTAGACCCTTCACTAGTTTCGTTGCCCTCCTCTGCACTCGCTCCAGCACCTCCAGATCTCTCTTGTATTGAGGTGCCCAAAACTGGACACAATACTCGAGGTGTGGCCTCACCAGTGCTGAGTACAGGGGCATAATCACCTCCCTACTTCTGCTGGTCACACTATTTTTGATACAAGCCAGAATGCTGTTGGCTTTCTTGGCCACCTGGGCACACGGCCGGCTCATATTCAGCCACTTGTCAACTTTCTTCCAGGTCTCTTTCTTCCAGGCAGCTCCAGCCACACTTCCCCCAGCCTGTAGTGCTGCATGGGGTTATTGTGGCCCAAGTGCAGGACCTGGCACTTGCCCTTGTTGAAACTCATGCCGTTGATCTTGGCCCAGTGATCCAATCTATCTAGGTCCCTCTGTAGGGCTTCCCTATCCTCCATAGATCTTGCTCGATCTGTGAGCTTAAATCATTCAGTGGCTGACAGCTGCATGGTGCTTTCTGTGCCTTGGGAATACTGCATCGCCGTACTTGTAAGTGATGGTTGTGCATCTTTTTGCTTGTGTTGCAGGAGGTATCTGCCCAAACTAAAGGGCTTCCCCTCGAGATATATCTACGAACCATGGAACGCCCCAGAGTCTGTGCAGAAGGCAGCCAAGTGCATCATTGGGGTGGACTACCCCAAACCCATGGTGAACCACGCGGAGACCAGCCGCCTGAACATCGAACGCATGAAGCAGATTTACCAGCAGCTGTCACGCTACAGGGGGCTCTGTAAGTACCAGCAGTAGCAAAAGATTTTGTCTTTAATAGGAGATAAATGGAGGAGAGCCCACGGTTTAAAATAGATAGCAATTGTCTCTGGCCAGTCCTTGCAAGAGGAAGCAGTCCCTGCCAAATTTGCTCAGTTCATTTCCAGGGAAGAGCTCTATTGAGCTCTTGGACAGGTAAGAGCAGGGTTTGATTAGTTTTGAGAGCTGCTGATGGCACGGCACCATCCATATGTCACCAATTGTCCGGTCCACTTTGGAAAAAAACCTAGGCAGATCATCCTAAATAAATACACTGCTGGGTCACAGTGTCTGTCTGGTGGCCAGCACTTGGTGATCGAAGCTCTGAACTCATCCTCCTTTGGGATATGGATGTGCTGGTTGGTAATCACTAAGGTGTTTCCATGTTGAAAGGCTTCTCCTGCCCCAGGTGGTTTTTGTTTCTTAACTGTGATCCTCCTGCCTTTCTCTAGGTTTACTGGCATCAGTCCCTTCATGTGTGGAAGATCTCAGTGGCCCAGTGCCAGACTCTGCTTCGGGGCAGGGCTGCAGCACCAGTACAGGTGAGTTGGAGCTATTTGTGTGCTTCCTAGTTTCATGTCAACTTAAAGGCTACGGGCAGGAGAGATCCTATTCTAATAAGAAGAGGGTGTCTAGCTGGGATAACATAGATCCCATTCATCTTCCTTTAGGCTTTCTTCAGAAGTCCCCAGTGAGCCTTCATTCCTAAAAGGGCTAAAGAATAAGTGAATCTTTTATTGCCTGTATGGGATCGTATGCAGCCACTTAAGGGAGAAGTGCAGATCACTGTAGGGCTAATCGGGTATAATTAAGTATCCTCTGTCAGAGGATACTTTTTAGTTTGTTCTGGGAGACTTAATTATTCTGCTTTTAACAAAGTTTTTTTTTTCCAAAAGTTTTTAAGGAGGCTGTGGCAATCTCTTTCTGTGCCTTGCGCACTGCGTGTCCTTCTTTTCTCCCAGCTCCGTAGCAGGTTAGGCTGGGGTGTATTTACAAATACAAATTTACAAAAGAGATCAAAGAGAAAAAGGAGAAACATTGCAATCCCTGATCTTCCTCTACAGCGATGAGGCTGTCGCAAGCAGACCAGGCTTCTCCGAAGCGCAAACACGAGGGAGCAGAAGAGCCGTGTGCTGAAGAACTCTACAAACGAGCCAAAGTGACAGGTCTCCCCGCTCCAGAGATCCCTGGCAAGAGTTTATGATTGTGAGTAGTCCCTAGTGTGATCTGGCCTAAACTACCTTGTTCTGGCAGGTGGCAAGGTTCAATCGTACTCGCTCCCTGCGTTTTAATGAACAAAATAGACTTTTCTTGTGGAGGGAGGTGGCTCCCAACTGTAATTCCATAGCCCTGGATTTGGCAGGGGTCTGCCCTCTGGTTGTTTCGCTTTTGCTTGACAAGCTGTTGACTCAGTTGTCCAGCAGAGAGCAGTACCCTGTTACTGGAACAGTCACAGAGCACAGGTGTTCTCTCTAGTGAGGCTGCTTCTCCTTCCACACAGTGGGTTTGCGGGGGGATTTGCAGATGTGGTTGAGGGTACGGGCTGGAGAAGGGGAGCAAGCAGGTCCAGTCATCTGCCTGAAACGCTCTGGGTCCCAGGAGGGAAGGAGCCCTCACGGGTTCTGGGGACTTCTCAGCATGAGGGGGAGGTGATGGCCAATTCTCTCTTTTCCTTTCTCCCACAGCCAGCAGCGAGCACCTTGCAAGCGAAGAGCGAGAGCGCTGAAGAGGTGCCCCGAGGAGTAGGGACTGCTGCCGCAGAGGGAATGGAACTTGTGATCCACAACAGAAAAATCTGAGGGTCTCATAAAAATGTGTAATTCTAGTAGCTGCCACACAAGGGCACTGCATTACTTGTGCTTGGGAATATTTGGCTTTCTGCTCTCCAGAGAGCCAAATACGTCTCCTCCTAGCCATGGCCAAAGTCTGCCCACATTTAAGGGGGGCAAGAGGCTTCTATCACCTTGTTCACTCCCTCACTCCCAGGTGTATCTTTCTTTTCTGACAACGGATCAGTGCATGTGACTTGATGCATTGATGTAAGGAGCAGTGGCTGCTCATCTGTTGGGTTGGAACATAAGAGGTTCCACTCAAATATGAGGAGAAACTTCTTCACGGTGAGGGTGGCAGAGCCCTGGAACAGGCTGCCCAGGGAGGTTGTGGAGTCCCCTTCCTTGGAGATTTTCAAGCCCCGCCTGGATGCAGTCCTGAGTAACATGCTCTAGCTCTAGGCAATCCTGCTTCAGCAGGGGAGTTGGACTAGATGATCTCTATGGTCCCTTCCAACTCTAAAATTCAGTGAAATTCAGTGAAATCTCAGAGTAAACACCCTTTCTCATTGCTTGTACCAGGCGGGGAGGTGCGCTGATTAATTCACATGATAGTAGGAGATGAGAAGGAAGCTGCTGCCATGTCAAAAATAGAGTACCCATCCTACAAGAGAACAGGAAAGCCTCAGTATTTCTTTTGTTAGGCTAGACTGATGGGGATATAACTGCTTTCTGAGTAAATCGAGAGGGTAGTCAGGTGGGATGGAAACGAAATGAAGGACAACTGTAGCACAGGAACAAAGAGGTACAAACTGTCTATACACTTGAAAGGCACTTAAAAACTTTCCCTGCAGAAGAACCTCACTGCTGCAAGGTGAGCCGTAGTGCCGTGCCTGGAACAGGCAGCTTCAGAGCCGTTTGACATCGGGGTGGGGAGGGAGTCTGAGAGAAGGAGAAATTCTTCAGAGAACGAGGTCATGCCTTGATACGAGTAAAGCAGTCTCCCAGAAGCTTGCTGGCCCAAATGATAAGGGAGCTACACCTGGGCCCTGCACTCTACAGCATTTCCTTCCCTGAACGAGTGGTGTCTGGTGTGTTGAGTGAGTGGTGTCTGGTGTGTAAAGCCTGCGGAGTGCCTCGTGCTGACAGGGGGTGTGTTACACACACATCAGCTCCTTGAAGCGAGTCTTCCTCGGGCTCGGTCCGTTGTCCTTTCTGTGTGGCTGTCTGCTCTTTCTGGTGTTGGCACCTGTGTTGTTGAGTTTCTAACGCGGCCTACTCCTCCTGTACCTCATGCCCTGCACACTGCTCCTTCTTTGCCATGTGCATTCACGCTGGTGCTTTGTAGTCTAGCGGGACGATCGCATCGCTGTCCTGGCTACTAACCATCACACTCCTTGGCCTGCTCCCATCACGTGTCATTTCAACACGGTGCTGGCAGAGCACCCCTGCTTGCCTTCCCCCCCCGAGGGAGCAAGGGAGGGTGGTGGTAGTTCTGTAGAAGAGCCTTCTGTGGCCGTTTTCAACAGGAATTAGATCAAGTAGCTAATTCTGTGCCAGGGGGCTGCTGTTGGCACTGTTTTTGTTTGCTGTCCAAAACCTTTCACCCCCGCCTGGCACAGCTAGCGTGGGGCTATCCGTGAGCTTATGCATCTCTAACAGCTTGGGGAGCACAGGAGATGTCTTCTACTCTGACTGGGATGGTTTGGTTCAGTTATGGAGCCTGTGTTTGAACCCGGAGCAATAGAATAGAAACTGACCGAAATCCGTCTGGGGAAGCTGGAGTGGCTGAAGTGGGTCTGTGAGTTAATTTATTGAATAGCTGAATAACCTTTCCTTCCCACTCATCTCCCTAGATTCTTTTTCCCCGAGGGAATCCATTGGGCAGACTGACCAAGTAAGCAAGAGTCACTTGTCCTGCCCTTGGATAACCCAGTAACCAACAGGTTTTATCTCCTTCAGTCTGACCCAGACCTTACTCCCACTGTCTGGAGGGTAGAAAGGTAAAGAGAAAGAGAGACCTCCCCCTCTCCCCCCCATCTTCTGCTGCAGAGGGAAGAAAGGGGAAAGATGTGCACTTTGTACACTTAGGTTACAGAAATTGTGACTTCTGTCATTTGGAGAGTTTCATGCTTAGGCAACGGTCTGTAAATAATGACTTTTTTTTTTATATATATATATAAAAAAATGTCTTTAACCCTCTCTTTGCTGTCATCCAAATTCTTTCATTTGGTAAGTGGCATTTTTGGGAGTGGATCCGTGGGGGGTAAGGAGCCAAGGGGGAGGAGGGAAAGCCAAAATCTTCCTGAGTGAGCTCTCCAAAGACCTCTTGGGCGAGGGGGGAGATGGCATTTACAAGGTTTCTGTCAGAGCCTGTGCTGTGTGTGGTGGCACCTGGAAGAGCTGCAGTTCAGGTGGCACAAGTGGGCAAGGCACAGAGAAACACAAGGCAAAGATAAGGAAAAATCTTGCAAGAAGCCCGTTCCGTGGGCTGGGATCCATCCACTGATACCCGTTCCCAGTTGGAATGATAAAGGTGGGTAAAACTGCGTGACCAGGTGGAGTATGTTCGATGAAACAAGGTGGTGTATCCAACACCTGCACCTTCCTTACCTTGAGGTTGTTGTCACAAGCTCTTCCAAAGCTGTGGGTCCTAACAGTCTGAGCGAGTTCAAAAAGGCTTGCCCAGCTCATGGGCAAGGAAAAAGCCGTCAACAGCCATGGGTGAAGATACCATCTTTGTGTCAGGGAGGAACAGAGGGTCACTGAAGGCTGAGATAACGAAAGAAGCAGTGTGAAATGGGTGCCAGTTTGGGTTTGATGCTGTGAGTGGTGGCTTTCAGGATGCTCCCCAGGGTAGTGTGGAGGCTCCTTGTGACCGAGAGGGTGGGCGCTGGGGTGGAGGAGTGCGGCAGAGCCATGAACAATGTTCACATTGTCCAACATGGGTCTTCTGCCAGTGACTGAGCCTTTTTTCTTGCAATTCTTCAGCTAAGTCATGAACTGACACTAAATACACCATGATTTAGCAGCCTTGTTAATGGCTTGGGGACAGTTGGAGTAAGTTCTGCTTGTGCGTCATGCCATCCTCGGTGCTCCAGTGTAGACCCCGTTACTGGAACTCTGTCTGCCTTTGGAGAATGGTTATGTTTGAGAATGTTGGAGAATGGAGGTAAGTTATTTTTCTCAGCAAGACTTGAGGAAGCGCAGAAGACTTGAGGCCAGGCAGTTTCTCACTGGGGTTTGGCCATGGGGCCGATGTAGGACAGCAGCGCTGGAGCCTCAACTGAGCACGTTCAGCCCAAACACCAGCTCAGTGATTACTACAAAATATCCAGACAAAGCCAGGACACAATTTGAAAACATTTAAGAGCCATTTAGATGCGGTGTTGGGGGATATGGTGTAGGGGAGAACTTTGTAGAGTAGGGTAGATGGTTGGACTCGATGATCCCAAGGGTCTCTTCCAACCTAGATGATTCTATGATTTTGTGGGAATGAGCTTTTAAAATTTGGAACCAAATCTGTTGGGTGAGTTTTGACATGCAAAAAAGGCAGTTTTTGAAGATGCATTTCAACGAGGTGATAAAAGAGGTGGTGATAAAAGGGCAGGTCTGGCCTGCAAGGAGGACAACTAGTGTGTTGGTCAGTGGACTGAGGGTACTGTCAAGGTTCATGCGACTGCTGAGTTGTCCTCTTGGCTCCAGCACGGACATCCTGGGCTTGAGGAGGTGACAACTTAGTGCTTGAAGTGGCTCTTAGATGACAAAAACCTTTTGAAAATTGCAGCCTGGGCCTTAGAAGGTGAAGAGCCAGGGTGACAGCAAACACGGTCTGGCTTTCTCTACCCAGAGTGTAATAATGTAAATTAAACCTGGAGAGGTCGAGTTGAGGCTCCTCTTTGCTAGGCAGAACATCTGTTCTCCCTGTCAAAGGGATGGTGGTGATGTGGATAAGGATGGGAACTGGTGGTTGGGGAAAATCCCTTCCTCCATGTCTCTTCCATCTGCACAGAGGAGGAGCTGGGGTGGCTTCAGGAGGGGCTGGCTGAGAGGTGTGAAGGCCAGCACCTGGATGTGAAGGGATGGGAGCCAGAGCCGTGGCCACTGGGGCAGAGGGAAAATGAGCCATGAGAAGGGTGGCTGATGGAAAGGGAGCAGAGCGCTCATCTGGTGACACAACGGCGTCTCGGGGAGAAGGGGGTACCTGGTTCATCTGGGGGAGAGAAGCAGGAGAACCTCTCCCAGCACTTAACCTTTCCTCAGGTTTAACACAAGGCTGGGAACAGTTGGTCTGACAGCCAGAGCCGTGGCCACTGGGGCAGAGGGAAAATGAGCCATGAGAAGGGTGGCTGATGGAAAGGGAGCAGAGCGCTCATCTGGTGACACAACGGCGTCTCGGGGAGAAGGGGGTACCTGGTTCATCTGGGGGAGAGAAGCAGGAGAACCTCTCCCAGCACTTAACCTTTCCTCAGGTTTAACGCAAGGCTGGGAACAGTTGCTCTGATGTGAACCTGCTGGTCAATTGCACAATTTGAAATAGACAAAGCCAGCAGATGCCTTGTGAGCAGTGAGACTGGCTAGGACAGACGTGTCCTCCTTTGCAGGACATGTACACGCACAACCCTCCAGGAGGTCTCTCCCAGAGGCCATGGGCTCTGCCGTGTGTATGAGGATATAGACCTGACCACAGCAGCACAGCCAGAAAGACCAAAGCGGGTCTCCTGCCTGGCCGAACCTGCTGGTCAATTGCACAATTTGAAATGGACAAAAAAAGCCAGCAGATGCCTTGTGAGCAGTGAGACTGGCTAGGACAGACGTGTCCTCCTTTGCAGGACATGTACACGCACAACCCTCCAGGAGGTCTCTCCCAGAGGCCATGGGCTCTGCCGTGTGTATGAGGATATAGACCTGACCACAGCAGCACAGCCAGAAAGACCAAAGCGGGTCTCCTGCCTGGCCACCCTGAGGGTGGTGGCTGGGATGAAGGGTCTGATGACCAGACTTGGTGGGAAGCTCTTGGTGCTTGACTTCCCAGCACGAGGTGAGACCTGCTGGTGCAGGAGGAGGAGGAGGAGGCAGCCTTACCTTCTGCCCCAGAACCACCACCATGCTGCAGGGGAATCATGTCTTGGTAGGTGGGGGGGTTGCTTTAAGATGGACTTGTGTCAAAGCCCACCCTGAATGGAGGCTGGTGGGTCTCACTGCACGTAAGATGGTTCAATTTATGCATCCAAACTGTGAAGGGGACACCTACCCCCGCTCAGGAGGCCACCCCAGGGGTACCTTTGCGTGGTGACCCTGTGGGGGTGTGGGCTGTTTCCACGCTGGCCCAGGAGTAACATCTCTTTTGAGTTGGTCTGGCAGGAGCTCAAGACTCCCGAGAGAGAGAGAGCAGGGCTGTGTGCCTTGGAGGGCTCTGCTTGCTCT